TGCGACTCTTGGTTGATGATGGAAGTACTAGAAATAATAAACTTACTTCTTCCCTACAGCATATCAACGTGCATGGCTTATCCACGCACCACGTACCAATCTGTGTCATTCCAATCCGCCTTGACCAAAAAAGTGCAAACTTAAGCTCAAATGCCCCCAGAACCAAACAAAGCGGCAAAGCCAAAAAAGCCTCGAACCCCCAAAACTGGTAAGAATCCATCCTCAGGCACCAAAACCCTGAACCTTGATTGGGTACGTTTCGTGAGCAAACTTCGAGTATGATTCGGGGGTAGGCTTTGGAAGTTCCAGAAGGAAACTCATCTTGAATTGAGGTCCATGTTGCGGCGGCAGGTTTAGGGATATGTTCTGGAGGTACGTTTTGCCCACTGAACTTTTGCGCTCCTATCTTAAAGAGTAAACACACACACACACAATGAAATCCTGTAGACCCCTCTGTCCTCAAACCCGCGCCCGCAATGCTAAATTCCCAAGGCCCCGAATGAACAGTGCAGAGTGCCTCGCCGGCAGAGCCGCTGCTTCCAGTCGAGTCATCCTCGAATGCCCGACCGATCCAGATTCCAGATAAGCTGTGAAAGCTGAGGGACAAATCAAGACGTTGGGGGTGATAAGACAGTTCTGAGTAGTACACGCAATATGATTACAACACTTCAGGGCAGGGCGGGCAGTCATGGTCGGACCCAACATTCAACACAACGTGCATTGCAAACTGCGTCCTAACCCAGGAACAAGGTTACCCGTGGACCTCCTCAACAAACCTATTACAAGGAGCAATTTCGAGAGCATTGGCCCTTCCAAAAAAACACCGAGACGCTGGGCATGCGAGGCGCCCCATACCTGCATCTTTCTTCACTGCAACCAGTCGTCAGCTATCGGAAGCAACCAGATGGCTTGATCTCTTCAGCCCACCTACTGCAATGCATGTTTCTCCCAAACGAACAAACTTCACTCTTAATGACCAGACGAAGGAAGAAGGGAAGAAGGGAACCCTAAAGGAAAGGTGCCTTGTGATGGGACTGCCCTTTCGGGCCACGGTGCTATGCCACCATGGCACCAATGGTGCTGAGAGTGGATGTGTAGCTTTGGCTGAAGCGGATGTGAGGCCATTGGAGGGTTTGGGGGGGTGTTGGCTTAGGGGAATTGGCTGATGGGCTTCATTTCGGGCTGGGCTTTCGGGCCAACTACGTCGGCCCTGCCCTTCAAAGCGACACCTGTTTGAGCCATGCATCGACGCGAAGCACACCTGGCCATTGTGTTTCTCCAAATCCTGAAACTTGAAAACTTGGTTGAAGTGAAGCACTTCCGCTCTACCAATGACATCCCTTCTGTATGTGGCTGTGGTCCTGCGACCAAAGTTTGCAGCCTGGCTCTCGATTGCAGATCCGCAACCAGAAAATATTTCACATCGAGCTTGTCCATTTAAGTGCTGGGACCTTCGAAACTTGAGGGCCCCACTATTCGGGAGCTGCGGGGATCTTTAGCTTAGGATGTTGCTGCTCATGATAGTCTTCTGCCACTTCCTTGGCCAAAGGTCAGGCCAGCATGGGGTTCCCTTGCCTAACGTCCCAGAAGTTTTGAGATCCTACCAAAAGAAGAATGAGTGGTGACCTGATGCGACCAGCGAGCCACCTGAGGCTCTCCGGCGGCGCGCCCACCGGATCATCCATGGGGCCTTGAGTGAGGGGCACTTAGGTCTTAAAACAACTGAGCACGTCTCTTTTTGGGATATATAGGGGTAGAGGTTATAGGGGTTTTACAAGCTGCAAGGCGGAAGAAAGACCTGAACCATGAGCCTGTTAAATCCCAAGCAATGATCAGGACAATGTCTGCTGAGCTGCAGTAACGATGCCACATGGACACCTGACTGTGTCCCCCAATTCAACTCCAAGAGCGATATATAACCGCCCTATCCAATGCTCACAGGTTTACATTTTGGAGAAAATGCTTAGACGGTCTAGCATAGACAACTTAACATGGTGCCGAGCTCCTGGCAGCTGCAGCCTGGGGGTGCTCCAGCTGCCAAGGACCAGTCCTCTTATTAAGACTCTAGAAACACAACGCTCCTGGGATAGCTCATACTGGGATTACATTGGTGTAGCATTTGTAATTGCAAAGGCTTCGTCCATTTGAAACATCCCTGATGCCACTACTAGCTACTACTATGGTCAAGGCTGCAACGAGCGCAGCCCGAAGTGCCAGGCCTGCCTTATGGGTCCAGGCTGGCGCAGCACGACCAAGCTTCTCGCAGCGCTTCTGCACATGCCTGGGCAGGCCACGGGCATGCGGCGATACTTCCATGACTCACGAAAAAGAAAGTGCCCGGTGCAGGAAAGGCCTCTCCTCTTTGAAGGCTTCTAGGCAATACAAGTATTTCCGGCATAAGTTTCATCACCACTGCTAAGGGCAAAATAATTGGGCTGACCTGCTGTCTAGGGGCTTGGAGAAAGACCTGATGGCCGTCTTGACGTAGGCGTTCTGCACAGGAAGTAAGATTAGCAAACATTTGCACCCAAAACAAGCTGCAAAAGACACATGCCATCAGGCCCGCGCTTTCATGTCAAGCTGGGTGTCATAGTCCCACCTTAAGCGATCACAAGGAGGAAAATCGACCGTTTCCAGAATGAGACATTGCCCTCATACCTCAGGCATGGAAAGGTAGAGAACTATGCACACCTCACCACCCTCCTCTTGATTCTTTTCCACTTGGCGATGCGCTCAGTTTACATCTTCCACCTTGATACGCGGAATGAACCCAGGGCCAGGCTGTATCAGCGGCGCACTCTTCTCTAGAGCGCTGCCATCGAAGCTACGCTTGTTTCGGTTGATGCGGTCCCTGGCTGAGGCCCCACGTGAAAACTTCGGCTCAGCAAGGAAGCTGATTTCCGATACTCAAACTCAAGAACGGCATGCTTTGCTAGCAGCTAGCATCAAATCAGGAAAGCACCCAAGCCTGCAAACATGCTGCACGATTAAGCTCTGGCCTGAGCTCTTTCAGCACTGGGACCTTTGTCCCTTCTGGGTCCTTTTTCTGTTTCTTTACCTCGTCTGGCCTTGGTTTAGAGGCAAATTCCTGCTCTCAAATTGATGGCAGAGTTCGGAATGATAGCGTTTGCAGTGTTCCTACAGCGGCTACATGCCAAGTAGCCTTTCATCCGCCTCCTCTGCCTTTCGCTTGTTGCCCTAGGATGACGTGGTGACCAGGTTAAGAGCCAGGCATCCAAGCACCCAAACCAAACAGGACAAATGCCTTCTCACGCATCCTCACGGAAACTAGTAAGTATGAACTACCAAGCTACTGCGAAAATAATCACCGTCAATCTACAACCCATCTGGTCAAATCTTGTGCTATCGGATCCTGACTAGCAAACTTGTTTCTTCGTCTGCTTGTGTATTGTAGTCAGCTTGCAGTGTTTAATGGCAGTTGACATTGTTGTGTTTGCCGTGTTGCCCTTGCAGCTGCCATCGACTATCACCGGCGCTGCAAAACCCCTGGCTGCTGCTTCGTCACTTCAAGTACCCTGCGCCCAAATGGGGGTTGCCCAAAATTAGGGGTACCCTTTTTGGGGGTCTTTATAATAAGGACTATAGTATATTGGGGTCTATATTGGGGTTCCTTTATTTGGGGAAACTACCAAAGCTGTCTTTTCGACTTTCCCAAAGCTCTCTGCAGCTTGGTTTCCCGAACTCCCTTGCCTCGGCCCTTGGGCTTCCGGCCCATGGCGAAAAAGAACCTACCAGTAGCTTGGAGGGTCAGGGGGACTTAGGAAGTAGGTAAATAATGGGGATAACTGGGGTTACTATATGGGTTAGAGGGGTTGCTAACCTACTTACTTAGCCCCCTTGACCCTCCAAGTAGCCTGCTGGATGACTAGATGGATGACTTGAGTTAACAAGTAGCACCAGAAGTGCATCAAAGAAGGTCTTCTTGCGTACGCAGCTTGCTTGCAACGTGGAAAGCAATAAATGAAAACATGGACATCTGGAGGGCCTTGCTGCAGAAGCCTGGACCGATAGACTCGCGATGTTTCGTTTTGTTGCTTGCTTGTATCACAGCTGGCAGGGTTCCATACTTATCGCCGGCTTCTTTTGGGGGCGCAGCTTGTAGAATTTAAGGGTTGGCTGCAAACTGAGAAATCTGACACCTGCCAGTTTGCAGCGGGGCGCTGCATGTTGGGAGTATGAGCTGTGGCCTCGCCAAGTTGCTGTGAGCCAATACGAAACGGCAACTTGGAAGCCCGAGCCTCACATGGCCAGCTGTCAAATGCTCTCAATGCCTATTCTGAACGGAGGATGCAATCGTGCGAATAGCAATCCTAAGGGGCGCACGATGTTTCAGAGCTTGTCACGGACATCCTCAAAGAGTACAATCGCAGTTCCCGCACAAATGGAAGATGGATAAGGGGGCGTGCACTGTGCCCTTTTGTCTGCTCCTCTGCCTGGCTCTAGCGCTCTACTCCATTGATAGAGCCACCCGACGGATTCGCATCCTTTTCGCCCTATAATCTGCACCACCCATACATGGGTCATCATGACATAGGTGGGTCCCAGCTCCATCTTGGGGTGGCTTTATGGATAGCTGGTCGCCAGCTAAGTAACGGGTGCACCCGGTAACCGCACACAGGGACGAGACTAAGAAAGCAGGCACCTCGACATGCACCCATGACCAACTTCCTTGCTTCTCTTTACTAGGGATGCCAAGCACAGGTGCGCGAATGTGCTCACTCTTGAAGTTATGATACACTCTTTTATCCACCGAAACTGCAAACCTCGCGGAAACACCAAGCAGAAACCCCAACCTGATTTCTAGACTACGGAGGCCTTCGAATTGGGCCTCGCTCAGGCATCCATATGGCTGCCGAGGGAACTTCAATCCTAATTTTCGGCTGCCAACTCTCTGACGTTTGTAAATCAAGGATCCAGCCATGGCACCATAGAATCTTGTAGCAGTGTCGAAACTTTGGCATACTACAGCTGGCTCGACATCATCGTCGCGGCTCTTCAGAATATTCGTATTCTGACTCATAGTCCCTGTCCCTTCCTGAGCTCAGCTGCACAAATCAGCTGCTGCACTACATCACCACTACAACGTTGGAGACTCTCTCCTTGAATGGCTGTTTGACCCCTTGTCCTTCTTTTTTTCTTGACCTGTTGAAAGGGGAGCATTTTGTTTTCCCGGCGAGCATCTTGTTTTCTCGGCGCTCGAGTCAAACGTTCAAACTCGACAAGCTGCGGTTCACAACACGTTGAGATACGTATTCCAGGCGTTCAACATCAACATGCGGAAAATGTGATCTTGCCATGGAGGGGACCATTTCGCTTCATATGCCGAACTACAAACGAATGCAACTTACTGCAAGTACACAAAGTTGTGGAACTCGGCTATGCCTTCTCTTCAGGCAAGTATGGCAGGACACAAACAACGACAACAAATATAGCACAAATGTCAAGAAGAACAACTGCAACAACAGTCGGCCTACAACAACATGGCAGTCAGATTGGATGTCCAAAGATTGTCTCCAAGCGACGGCGGCGGCGTCCCCGGCCCCGCGGCCGGCTTTCCTCACGGCGGCGGCGCCGCCGGTCGTCGCGGCTATCATCCCTAGCAAGTACCAGTGTTGCATCAGCATTGCAGCTCAAATATCAGCTACAGCTGCTTTTCAGGTGCGAAAGCAGTCGTGCAAGTTGAGCTCCAGGTCAAGCATCGCACCTTGGCACCTCCTTCGCAGTTCCTATCCCTTTTGGCCATCCAGAAGGCAATTTCTCCGCACAGGCTTTCCCGAATACACTGGCAATAGCCATATTATAAGGATCCTAATCCTGATGAGCCTTAGTGTAGCAGGCGAAAAGTGGATGCACACTATACTAGACCAACATCATCTCGACAACCTCTTCGTGTCCCGATAGGGGCCCTGTAGTGCGGCAGCTACGGCTACGCCTATGAAGTCCCATGTCGCCCGCACCATCCCCCAAGAACCGCAAAAAGCCCTGCTTGACGTTTGGGCTACATTCAAAAGACATTCCACCTTCCTCCAAGACCTCCAGAGAACAAATGAATCCTGTAGAACCCCTGAGAACAGTAAACTGCCATTCACGAAAAGCCATAAACCATCCCTTTTGACTCCCCGCAGCTGTCCCATCAGGCCTGCGGCGCCGGCCTCCACGGCCACCATTATAGCCACGGTCTCCACTGGGCCTTGGGTGGTTTGGTGGTTTGGGGTTTGGAGGACTTAGGTCTATTACCAGGGGAGGTTGGGAGACGTGCTCGCGTACGTCAGTGTACGGAGCTGAAGCTTACAACGCCGGCAGGAGGGAAGCATATGCTAAAAAACTGATGAAGAGATGGCATTTGAACCCCAAGATCTACAACACTATACACGGAGACCACCGGCAAACTTTACAATCCTTGCTCTGCCAAAATGGCCGTCCTGATCATGCGTTTCGAAACTCAACCCAAGCAAGTTTGCAATAGCATGTACTATTCATGTACAATAGTACATGCAAGTGCCTGAGCTCCGAATGAAAATCGTGGCCACCAAGCCAGTTCTTAAGCATCAAGTCTGACGGCCTTCTGACTTCAGCCCAATTAAGCCCACACTGCAACCCTCTGAGCTTCCGACCTTGGCTCCCCACAGGAGAAGCAGGTATCCTCCCAGGTTAGTATCTAGGTTTCAGATTCAAAGCTGCTTTCGATCTGAGATGATCTCAGGGCGGGCGGGATGGGGCAACACACAAGCCATGATCTCGTAGGACCGCATCCTCTAGGAGGTAGATGTAAGCTGAAAGGACCCACGCCTTGGCTGCAAAAACCAGCTTGCCACAATTTGGGCAGCTCCAGTCGCCCTCGCGCCGCTCGATGGGCCCCTTGCCGCCTAGCTCAGGATATTTCAGGTCCAGCGCAAGGCTTGGCAGATGATCTTGCTACGATTGAGTCTGAAGGACAAAGCCAACATACAAACATCAACCGGTTCACGTTGTACATCGAACTCGAAGACTTCAAGCAACGTCTGTCAAATACGCGCCTGGATTGTTCACCACACCCCTCAAGCCCCCAGGAGCATTCCAGGTAAGCTGTGTGTCGTCTATTCCTTGGTTGCAAGTCGAGGGCTGGGTATTACGAGCCGCTGGCAGGACGGGGAGGAGGAAAAGGGCTGGAGAAGCTCAAATTCAAACTGCGGCACACATACAGCAATGTGGAATTGCAGCTGCTGCTGCTGCCGCCGCCGCCGCCGCTGCTACTACTCATACCGTACAGACAACTCCAACACCCAAAGGTTTGCTACAAATGGCTTATGGGTCTAAAATTGTCATAATTGCCCAACCGCAAGGTGGTCGTGGATTGAGAACCAGCCCAATTTAATGACCTGGCCTTGGGACAGACTTGGAGAGATGCAAAGCAAGTGGCTGACACCCATGTCCTTCAGCTCCTCCCGCATGCGATCGGCCTTGCAGTGAAGTTAGGCAAAAGCGCACTGCTATCGTGCAACTTTGCAGAAAACTGCTCAAACGGGCGACTTGTCCATCCAGGCCCCGGAGCCTTGTCAAAATCGCGGTCACGACGGGCTGCCTGCCTCTCGTCAACCATCTGTTGGATTCCTTAGCTTTAGTCCGAGTGCGCATGCAGACCATGCAGAACGTTTCTGGGGGCCTCTGTTCCCTGCTGTGGTCAGCAACCACTATACTGCCCGATTGGTGCAGCTAGCGTCGGTCTCCGTCGCCATCGCGGCCTCCCGAGCGGGAGCGGGAGTCTGATCTACCTCGCCCCATGACTTCCTGTCAGGAGCGGTCTGAGCCTCGACTGCAATCGTACACTTCTAGAATGTCTGTAACACCCCATGCAAGCGTTGGCGGCCAAACCGGAGCCCCAGAAACCCCAGCTACAACCTCGTCTCTGCTGTCATTTTGATCTGCGCGACCCTGGTCAAGCACTGCACAGGGCAGGCACTACACAGAAATCAAAAGGTACTGCAGGGAGGTAAACACATGTTGTGTTTGTGGGCAAGCTCCATGGTCAAAAATGCTTTGGCGAGGCTACAGTAGTCTTCGGGTTGTAGCAATTCAGTATTGTCCACTCACGCCTTTGACACAAAGCTGCAAATTTCACAGCTACCAGGCAGGTTCAGCTGCGTGGGCACAAGCTTCTTGTAGCAATCGCTCATGTGCTTGGCGCATTGAGCCCGGAAAAGCCGAGCTCAGTCACGGCTACTTCAGAAGGCCCTTCCAGCTGTCTTTCTCCTCAGCATACAGCATGACAGCTGCCTCCTCACTCCTAGATAGCAAGTAGATGCTAAAACTTTCAAGATGAGGAACCATTGAAGCTCTGCAACTTGGGCAACCCACATACTGGCACTGCCACCCTTCAAACGGACCGAATCACAAATCTCCCAGGCGTCGTTCTGCTTTGTCAGCATCACATTCAGCTCGGTGCCGCCGTTGACCAGGCACCACGTGCACTCGTCAGTCTCCACCTACGAATCCCCGCAAGCTCCACCAAAGCGCACGACGGGACATCAAAGGCTCTGACAAGGGCAAGTTGCAATTCTGACATCATGACATAATATGGCCGTGGACATGCATTAACAGGCAGATGCCTTGCCGCCAAGCGTGCCATCCAGCAAACTCTTGCCTCATTGCCATTTATTGCCGCGAATTGAGATCAAAAGCTAGTCAAGGTGTTTGAGCATCAAGGTAGTGCCAGGGACACTCCCTTAGCTAATCTTACAGCCTTAGCTCGTTGGACCAAGCAGCCACAGGCGAGGACCGAGATGGTTGTCTGCTTGAACATAACCTTGACCTTGCAGTCTCGAAAAATACGCATATTGCCCTATAGAGACCGTTTCACGTGACAAAAACTATGGCACCCTACGAGCTGTCTAAGCCCTGGTTAAACAAAACCTTCCACACCTCTGGAAGCATGCGCATTACAAACATGCTGCACGAAAATCTTGGAGGGTTCCGTGAAAAAGTGCCAGGCATTCAACACATCGGCGATCACAACTACACCGTGCAGTTTGCCAAACCCTTGGGGCGCAGACGTCCTTCTTCGTAGTAGCCTGGGGCAGCCTGAGCTGGGCCATGCTCTGCCACTTTTCCAGAGCTGTTCCATCCTTTTTTTTCGACTGCTGTGCATGCTGCAATGCTGCATTTTCCGTCCTGCTCCTCATACGGTGGCGATGATACGGTGATGATGGCTTCTTCTACTTACAATGCGAAGCTGAGGCATTGCAGCCGAGCTGCTTGATGACAATTTGTACCTCCTCGCCTCGGTGGGGTAAAATGCGCGAAGCCACGCACGCACTTTGAAAATCAAAATGTCTCAAGACGGCGCGTCCCGGCACGTCCTGACGTTCGGCTCTACGCCCGAAGATTTTCTTACCAGGGACTGGAAGTTTGGCAACATTGGATCTAAAGTATGGCTCGCGCGGACCTTACAAGGGCATGGATAAAATAAAACATCAAACTCCAGGAAATCGAGCTCAACAAACGGAAGACTTCGTGCTGGGCCATCCGGGCTGGCACGTTGCTCTGGGCTGCAGACCTTTCTGGCTCCAGGTATATCCATCCTGGAGCTGCGCTGCGCTGGTCCAAGTTAATTAATCGTTCAACGAAGTACTTTCTCACGATGCATCTCAGACTCAAACCCTCACCTTGATGCAGTGCCAGACTGAGAGAGCTAAACCAAATATGCAAGAGCAGCAACCGGCAATGTCGATGTCATTTCCAGAAGTAGGCCTCTTGAGTCTCGACCTCCTCTTCCGATGTGGGAGCAGCCCCGTAACCATCGCCCTGGCTGCCAGCGAACTAAAAGATCTTTCCAGCAGGGCATTGACAACCGGTTCACCGTTGCCTCGTGTGCCTCCAACGCGTGGGGATTGCAGCGGGTTGGATTGTCAAGTCCTCACCTTCCTCTCCCCTCCTATTGGTTTGAGAACCACGGCATCTGCTCAGCTTTGTACGTCCTCTCAAAATACTGACCACATCCAAGCTTCTACCAAGCCAACTCCGAAAAACAAAGAAAACGAACATGATTCAGCCCTCCTGCCTTGCCAGCACTTTTGCCGCCACCCTTGCCGGGGCCCTTGCCCATCATGCTCTTAAGATCCCTCAGCTGCAGCCATCCAAAGTATTCCAAAGTGAAATAATCACAGAGCGCTCGATAAATGAAGAAAACAAAACTACAGGTAGGTGAAATGAGCTCGCACAATAACATCTGCCTGGTGCCCCAACAGCCCCCCTACCGTGTGCAGCTCGGCCGCTCCAGGTTCATCCCGCCCGGCCCAGATGAGTCCTTCTCATCCGGCAGCCTTTGGCGGCTCCCACACAGAAACGGCTGATCTCTGAATTCATTGGCAGCCTATGGCTTACAGCGCACGTACAAATCGCAAAGCACAACTTCCGATATATTTCACAGGAACATCAAACTGGACATGCCACGAAACTCCATTGTGCTCTACAGCTCTGAAGCCTGAGACCTTCGTTTCCAAGTATAGGAGTTTGGCCAGATGCTGCCAGGATGCGCGCCAAGTTTCTTCTCAAACCTGTCAGCAGGGACGCAAGAAGATCGAGAAGGCCAGAGAGGACCAAGAAGCCTTTTGCTACTTGCATAGGCAGCAAGTGTGGGTTTCAATGCGATGAGGGGAAGCTGAAACATGCATTCTACCAAGAACCCTTCCACTCTGCCCTGAAGAGCGCACCTCGAATGGCAAGGCCTCGACCATCTGTCTATGATATAAGCAGTGAACATCTGTTTTTGGTGTGCTCCTCCAGCAATATACACACAATATACCCTGCCCTGCAAAGGTGGCACTCCTCCAAAACTAGACCACCACAAGAGAAAGCCTGGCGAACTTTCTTTTGCAGACCTCATCCTGACGTGTCCTTGGGCCCAGGCCACTCTCTCCTGCCCTCGGCCGGGGGATTGAGCCCAATCTTGTCAAGCCTGCAGTCAGCGACCCAACTGCTACTCGCGAGCAAGAAATTCCAAGGAGGATATCTCGGCCAGTGCCTTGTCTGAGCAGCCCCGTTCATGTCTGAACCCCAGGATATATAAGCCAAGTCCAAACCAGACATCCGCAACAGAAGAGGAGAGCTTACAATGATATCCCGTAGTCCCACAACCACCAGGAACACTTACGCAACAGCCACAACTGCCAGTCAAGTAGCTCAGCTTTTAGCGCGTCAGTCGGGGCCACCTGTCGAGCACACTCCGCAGGTGTCAGAAGCCTCTTGGCACTCTTGGGCCTTCTACTACCCTGAGTCAGCTATGCGGAGAACAGCCCTTGACATTTTCAAGTTGGCTCGCAGCAGCCCTGGCTGATCTGAGCATGCTTCAAGACACAATCACCCACTCCATGTACTCCATGTAGCAACTCCCTCCATATTGCACACTTGCTAAAAATTGCCACAAAGCTCGCAAGCCTCAGGTCAAGACAAGAACCTGAAAAGTCTTTTTTCGCACGGCTGAAATGATGCGAAGGGATCTCAAAGCTCCTTCTTTGAAGAGCCATGTTTCGTCATGGTGTAGACCTAGGCTCAGGCACGCATTTTGCCGAATTATTGCGCAGGAGATTCCGGCCTCGTCTACAAGAGGCTTGACTTTCGCGACTCTAAGGACAAAGCGTAATAGTCGTCGTAGCTCAACTTGTACCGCACGTCCCAGCCGTAGGTGGCATTGTCTCGGGTATGTGCCCAAGAAAAATGCAGCAGGGCTTCCACTTTGCACACGCAAATCCCACACATGCACAGCAGTCTCAAGTCTCTGTAAACAACCTGACATTTGACAGCTAACCAGACAGCCAAGTCACTGAAGAACTCCTCTGTGTCAAGCTCATCTGGTTGCCCGAGGGAGATAGAAATAAAGCCTTGAAGCGCGCAGAGTGCCATCACCCAGGATCTACGGGGCCGCAGCATTACTCCAAGTTTCCTTCTATACCCTCGGAGAGTCCTGACGCAGACCCTGATCCCAACCAATCTCTCCAGCAAGTGACGCCCTCCAGGGCGGAGCACGCGCGAGACCTCCATGAACATTAGGGGCCATTCTCCGAAAGCACCTTGCGACGCAGACAAAGGTTGAGGTTCGGCTTCCTGGTATGGCACATGCAGAGCCAAAGGGCAGGAATCGCCGCACTGGGTCTTCTATATGATTTGTCAAAAGTTTCTACGATTCTACGTGCACTTTCAAGCAGGATTCCAGCGTCGTCGTCCTCATGCGGAGGATCAGGGACTCATATTGAAGGACTCGTTGCACTGCACGATTGAATCACACTGGGCTCACCACCTTCACCGTCCATCCTTAGCCAGTCCCAGATTGATAACGTATACAAAGCATTCCGCAGATCCTCAACTACATCATCTATGCCTGAATCAAGCATAAACATTGGCAGATCCTGTGTGGAGTGTGCATTTCTCTCAGGGCCTTGACAAATGTACCACGTACCCCTGACGTTATGCAGCATCCAAAGCCACTCCCACTGCAAAGAGGTTCCACCGAACAGCTGAAGAACTCATCAAGAAAACGTAGCTAGCCATTTGATTTGCACATGTCAAGATAACCAACTGGCAGCTCAGCCATAAAAAGACCCCTTGGAAAGCAAGGTCTCAGTATGGCATCGCAGCGAATGCTCGAGACCAGCACTTGCAGCATCTGCATGCCAAGAGTCAAGGCCTTCTCTATGACGATATCAAACCTCGGCCGCGGGGTCCTACCGTAAACCTCTTTTTGGGGATCCAGCTGTCCTCAGCGCAGACAAGGTGCGACTGGTCTGCGAACTCGGGCATCCTCCGCGCGTCAGAGAGGACCCACCTGATTCGTGTAGCCCACCCTCTAGCATGCTTGATTCGCCTCCCTGCAATGCATGGTGAAGCCGTGCTGCTCTCAGCAGCGCAAATCGTGTCTACAACAATGCTAGAGCCAGGCGGCTTGAGCTTGGGAAACCGCCGCTTCTGCAAGGCAATGGCTTGCCTCCAGCGTGCCAATCTCTCGAAGTGGCAAGGTTGGATAGGTGAATTTGCGGTCTGGGGGGGCATATGCAAATGATGTCGCTGCTGCAACAGTGCTTGCAAGGAAAGCAAGATGGGAGCAGTGCGATGAGCATTGTCAAGAACCTCAAGGCTTGTGTGATAGATACTAAGCTCATGCATCAGAAATATGCACCCCTCGCCCTCAGCCAAAAGCCTGAAGCTTTCACAGCTGAACCTGTAAAATTCCCTCGTTGACGAGGCCAAGAGACTTGCTGTAGTCTGCAGCTGTTACATGCGAGAAGCCATCCTTCACCTCCCAGTGGCTACTATTCGATCATGCAAACCTTGCCTTGTGTTGCCTGAAACTGCAGACCTTCAAACATGCTCGCTGCGAGATCAGCTTAGCTGCCAAGGCCCTTTCTGCTCTGAAAAAGAAGTCACAAGAGAGGCCAAGAACATCAAGAAAGTCGGTGTTTCTCAGCGGGGCGGTCTGCTCCAAGTGCTTTTCCACTGGCGTCTCCAACTGGTGAACGTTTTTTTGCCCCTGCCCGCAAATTCCTTAAACCCTAAAGAACAAAAAAAACTCTGCGAACGCTGAACCCAGAACACTAAATATTAAACGTCCTGAATCTGCAGCAACCTGGAGACACACACCGCCGTTGCTGTCTTTTTCCTAGATACCATTTATAAACGCCAAGTACCTCAAAGCCCTCCTCACGCTAACCTGTAGGGTTCTGGATGTTTGGCATAGATCCAAAGGATTGGATCGCTCCGTCCCCATTCCCTCTCAGGGACATAACTTCAGACCGGCCCCAAACAAGAACCCCATGCCCCAAAAAACCAACGACGGCCAAGACGCCAAGTCAGCAGGAAGAGCACTGTTCCCGCAGCCAATGACTAGGATGTCCTTAGGTGTAATTAGGAAATCAAGGCAGCAAAGGCAATGGGTCAATGTCACAAGCCTCAGCTAAGTATGAGCCCCTCTCCAAACATTAATTTTGGCAGGCTGTCGTCGCTCTTTCGGAATGATGGCCCTGTGACATCATTCCGAAAGTGTTTCCAGGCACCATACCAGTCCTCGAGCATTGCAACAACCCCTTGCCGCGCTTCTTCCAACCCACTTCAGACTTTGAGGCTCCTTTCCCGCCGCAGACCGAGGATCCGCGTAGATGTTCCTCAGCAAGGCTGCAGTTGCAAGACTTTTTGGGCAGGATCCGCCGGACAATTGGGTTACCCAAATTGCTCTCTCGCACCTAACAAGCGGAGAAGTCTGGAAGCTTCAGCACAGGGCAAGGATCGACAAATAAATTGCACGAACGGTCCCAGTCCCAGAACCATGTCTGGACGTCCACTATCAAGTTCAAGCATCTCCCAGTATCTGTAGCGCTCCTCCAGCGACATTTCCAGCTTGCCGTCCCCTCGGTGCCGCAGGTAATTGCACGAAAATTGGTAATGGCAGGCGCGACTTCCAGGAAGCAAATGCTGCAGTCAAGTAAGGCAACAGCTGAAACCAATCATCGTTGCAAGGCAGGCATGTCATGGCTCTAGAACCTACAAACCTCGCAGCCTGCACAGGGAACAGCTCAAGATGCTTGCCGGGAGTCTTCCCTCATCATGGAAAGCATCCTCCTGTGCCTTAACCAGACAAAGAAAAAGCCTCAGCCCACATCTTCAGCATGTTGCCGGCACATCAGCATGGAAGGCTTTGACATCAAGGCGTATGCATGACACGGGGCCACTTGAAACAATGGTTGGCGTCGTATTGTCACTTGCTTGGATTTGCTGCAGTACTTAACCATGAAGAGCGGCAATCGTCACAGTAAGTACCAGCTGTTTGACACTCTCTGACAAGAGCCATCTGGGTCACCAGCATCCAGAGTTGGAGGTGCATCTGGGCTGTGGGCCCGCGCTACCCACGCTAAGGCGCAGCCATAGCTTGCCGAACAAAACCGTATTTGCAGACGTTGTTGAAATGGTATGGCTTACAGCTTGAGACGTGCAATACCAGGGCCAATGATGCGGTCTTGGCAAGAATTGGAAGAATGCAACCCCACATCCTCTATAAGCCATCTTGGCGGCTTTCACTCCGAGCGGCAATGGGACCATGCCCTTGCAACAGCTTGGACTCAACCCGGGCGGCCTTGAGCTGCTCTGAAACAAGGTCGTACCGCTGCATGACGGCCTCAACAAGGGACCTCAGGAGATATACGGACAAAGACATGCCCTTGCGTTGGGGAATGTTTGAAGCTGGGAACCCTACAGTCCCATCCCCTGTGCCTTCCTAGCTTCGACATGCAGAGTTCGGACAGGAATACACGTGATAAGGGGAAGCTCCTCACCCGCTTCTCAGAGGGACAGGATAAGTGTTGACTGGGTTAGGATGCACAGCACCCTGCTTTGCGTATGCGTTTTGTGCAGACGCTCCAGTGATGTTGCCTAGATTGCTGTCTGTAAGCATCTGCGAGCTCTCCAAGACCCTGGCAGACCAGCGCGCTTTGCAGACGCCTCGTAGGCGCTCCTGAAATCCTTGTGGCCTGGTCTGGGCTCAGCAGCAAGCCAGTATATGTGTTATGTGCGTTTGGCATGTCCATACCAATTCAGTGAAATTGATAGCCCCATATTTCTGCCTGATGGCATATAGTGTGTGCGTGTGTGAAGCTTGCTTGCTTCCTTGTGATAATGCACTGATACTGCCCATCTTGGTTTGAATGCCAGCTGGCATGAGAATCAGCAAAGGGGTGCCTTTATAGACTTTGAAACCACAATTTATTCATGCACAGCGGTACAGCATTGTAACCGCCATGGAGCATGCTTGAAGAAGTCAATGCAGACCTTTGGCTAGTTCGCCAGGAGCACTATGGCAACATGTAAGGCTCAAGGATGCAGCTTCCGAAGTGCAGGCACCGCGTCTCACAGCTAGGGTGCAGTGCAGGCAGATGGTGCGGTCGGGCCTATGCTTGTCATGGGCCCAGGGTGGAAGTCGATTCGCTTGCCCGATGAGGAGCTTCCGCCGGTCAGTAGTACGCCCATGCCTCGCGGACTGCAATGTCTTGTTCATTGGAGTTAAGCTAGAAAGTCTTGCTGAAGGCTTGCCAGTTCTGAAATGGAGCTTTGTGAATTTTTGCCTCTATCTCAAGGCAAGACCAATGATAAGAACCTCCAGTGTGTCTTCTCCTGAAAGACCTCCCTGTCTCTGCCTGTCACAGCCTTGCATGATTGCAAATGCAAATGCTCTGGGCGCAGGCCACTGCGGTACTCGACCAAAATGCTTCTTCATCTGACAAGGAGCAGGTGATGTTGTCTTTCGAGTCCTGAGCCGAGACGCAAATTCAGACACCCAGCGGCAGCATTCTGCTGCTGATCTGGGGGTGTCTCATTCTCGGGGTCCTGGTGAGGGATTCTATATAGAGTTCATTTTGGGAATTACCCATCTTCCATCTGACACATCTGGCTTCTGGACATGTCACAGGTACCTGCTACAAGTACTAGCAACTAGCTTCGCAAAAGATCAGCGGTTGATCCCGATTGGGGCGGACCGGCCCCAAGGTCCAGAGCTCAACAGTCTGCCAAGGCTCCATCTCCACTGCCTTGTGACAGACAGCCCTGGTGGCCTCCCGCATGTCCTTGCCAGAGCTGAGCCTCAGCAATCATGGGGCCTTTGCCCTGCTTTGGCAGCCCAGGCTCTGCTTCACACCTCAGATCCCCAGGCCAAAGGCTACTTGCTTGCTGGGTGGCGTAGATGCGACCAGCTTGACAACTTCTGAGTTGGGGAAGTTTCCCTCCGAAACACCTCATGCAAAAAATGGACAGAGGCCTTCCTGTAACTCTCCGGCAAATGATGATTGAAAACAGCAGGTTTCCCGGCACGTCTAGGTCACATCTCTGAGCTAGAAGGCCTACAGCTTTGTCCAAGGTTCCATCGCAGACCAGCAGAAGGAAGTCAGACTCATCACACCTTTTGACGACAACAACAATCACGAAAAGAGACACGTCACACTCAGCTGTTGCAGCCGAAGCTCGAGTTCTGGGTCATCACATTCTATCAACAAACGATTCAGGGGAATCTGGCACATAAAGGGCACGACGTGTTACCTACAGCTTGCATGTTCTCTGAACAGCCAGAATAGACGAAGCCGCTCGAAGTGTGACATTTCTGGGTCCACGGTGACCGGACGGTCCTGCAAACATCTCTGTGCTCTTTTGCATTGCAATTTTGGTGCAGCGATGCCACATCGGGAGCAACGAAAAAAGCTAGGAAATGCGAGAGTGCTAATGCTCTAAATGGATTTTTTGCCAACTGCTTTCACTGCAGTGCGGGGCAGTTACTGTTCAAATGTCCACTTGCAGTCCTCCGGACCTGGACCACCGGTGGACTTTTCATCCTGCTTCCGGCAAAAGCACAACAGCAATAATGGGCAACATGTAGTACCGTTGCAGCATATAACAGAGTAAGACCTGCATACCTGCTTGGGGACTGTGACCGTGGTTTTCACTCACCATGTATCCCTTTTGCTGTCCATGAACTACTGGTAGCAGCCTTGTCCCCGAAGCCACGGCTCACCGACAGGTTGCCATTGACCTGAGCCACTTGGTATCAACATTGGCCTTCCCTCAGACCCGGAGGCTTTGTTGTTGCTGCTGTCACTGTCGCTGTTGCTGCATCCAGGCCACTACTGCTTCTGCAACTTTGTAACTCTTGTTAAGCCCCTGCCGTATTTCTTTCGACAGGACACTCGAGCCACCCCGCCGTCTGCCATCTCAACCTGCGTGGAAGCCACAGAAGAGACGACACAAGGACCACATCAGATCTTGCAAAAAGCTGACCTTGCCACCGCAGCGTTCGATCCGTGCCTGACGGACTGCACAACAACTGCAACAAAAGCTCGCTCACGTTCATCAAGCCTGGAGGTCTGAGACAAGTTGGCTCTTAGATTTTCGGTAGGAAATCACACCAAGCCCACAGAAAGAGCCTTCTCTGTCGGATGGTCCGGCTTGTGGTCTGTGGTCAATCCTCTGAGGCTACTGTTCCGCCCACACTTCCCGACTCTCTTTGGGGATGTCCCAAGTTTGGAGCACTGATTTGACATCATCTGACCTACCAGTTCACGGATACAGCACCCTTAGCACATTAGCGCTCCTTTGTCAGTGCCGCCGCCATCCACAATGCTGCCATCCCGCTTGCCCAGCAGAGTTCGGCTGTCGCCAGCATTGATAACATGAAGCCGATGCTTGCCGCCTGGGCTCCAATCTGTGGAAAAAGCCCCAGGAAATGTGAAGAACCCCAGGCTGAGAATGTTTGTTGGTTGAACACCGTCCCACACGTCTATTCAAGCTTACCGGCCAAAACTTCGAAACATCTGCAGCGCCAGAAGAGTTTCCTGTGGTGCAAGGCAAGGCCGAACTCCTAGGCCGCGATCATGCGGCATACTTCATGCGGCATACTTCATCAACCCTAACCCCTATAAAACCCGACTTAGCCCTTAATGACCTACCAAAATTCATAGAACCCCAAGTTAATCATATGCCCCTATACGACCTCTATAAAACCCGTATATTATCCATTCTGTCTTGTTCCCAGCAATCGGCCTGCTTCTTTGGGTTTCCGAACAATGCACATAGTGGCAGTGGTGCCGCTGCTCTGCTCTGAGTCCAGGAACTCCTGATCTATCTTGATGAACCTGGGCTCTGTGGAGGGTACATGGGTCTCTGTCGGGGTATATATGGTCCTATAAGATTCTAGTGGTAACATGGTGTTTCTTTGCAGGCCCTGGACTCTACTCCTAGGCGCTGTCATGCTGGGTTGACTAGCAGCTCGTTCGAATCCTATCCACAGTAAGTACCTCAGCTTGCATTATGCAATCCTGTTGCGCAAACTTTCCCCAGCCCACATGCTAATCAGGAAAGCTAAAGAGGTGCCAGCCAGCAACTGTCATGTCTGGCGGCTTTCGGCTTTTGTACCCTCAGCCTACATTTTTTCTGGAAGCTCAACTCTGACCTCCGTCCTTCACCAATGTCTCAGCCTATGCTAGATCGCCTGTCCACGGTGTGTCGGAGCGCAACCGAAGAAGTGATTCGTGACGTTGGTTGTTATGGACACATCGGAGACATGCAAGTTTCCAAGGCGGACTGGACATGGAGATAAAAAGCAAAATCCACCTTTGCAGTGCAGCCAAGGAACAGCTTCTTGACAGCCTGGTCGCTCTCTGGGCATCCGTTCGCATCGATCTCTTCGCGCAACCTCTATGAAACACTTGGGTATCAACTCACATTCTGCCATCTGCTGAAGGCACATTCATCTTTCGGCAGCTGGACACAACTTGAACTTGCTGAGCCTTCGCGCAACGAACTCCGAACACGCACCTCGAACACCAGCTCGCCAGTCAAATGTCTCACGATACTGGTGCACATCGACAGGCCTCCACCATGCCCATCGAAAACACCGAACACACCCCAGCCATTGCCAAGCCTCACACTGCACAGCATCTGCCAATCACGATCGAAATCATCTTATAACCAACGCATTCGACTATGAACAAGCGAATCACAAACGATCCATTACCACTTGTGGTGCCGGCTAAATCTTGATCAAGACTAAGTGCCGGACATAATCAAGTGCGCATCCTCCATGCTGGTGCGCCAGCCATTCCTGGGCTGCAAAACATGTGTTTCAGGGTTTCCCACATTCTCTGGCCTGCGAAGCGATGCGAAACTTGCAAACACCGCGGGTCAAAACGACAGAAGAAGCCATGGAACATTCCGAATGGCAAGCAAACACTCCGCTCCCCAATCTCCGAATCGGGCTGAATAGAATCCACGTCACATCTCGGCAACGGCGACATCAAATTCAGCCTTCACCAGACACGCGGTTATGAATGCCAAAGGGGCGATGCTGCCGAGCAAAACTGGCAAGGTTGCGCTATTGTTTCTCTTATGCAAATCCCTGGTAATGTTTTTTGTTCACACCTGTCGGAACCTCATCTGACGTCAAAATATAATAGTGTTACTGTAAAGGAGGACTAGTAAGAGCGACAACTACGACACATGCGCAAACACACTCCACAGCCCAGCGTCCGAGTTTTGAGATTCCACCACCGTGGACTCCACGGCTTTCGGCAGTTGCGCCCCCATCTTCGCTTTTGCTGGGAAAAGTTTGCTGCAACTGTTTTCATAACGGCCGGGCGTGCTATCGTGAAATGAGCTATATGATGTCCTAATCAAGACTTGGCAGCAGTACAAACCATTTCTGCATGGAGAAATTACCATCCCTTTTGATTTCTACGACCACTACCGCTACGGACATTCTTCAACACTGGGACGCATGTTCCAGGACACCAGTCCTTCAAAGAAACCTCACATAGAGCAGCGATGAGGCTCACGCATGCTTCGATGTCAGACACACTACGTGCAACATGCAGGCATGTGCTGTCGGGATGTGGCAAGATGGCCGCCAAACAAAATTCAAGACACACAGCAGCAACTGAAGGCTTGGTTTCCAGCGCCTGACGAATTTCCTCTCGCCATCAAAGGCAAGTCACAGGCACGGTTGGCTGTGGTAGAGCTAGAGCAGCTAGAATCAGTGAAACACGGATGTCGCACAGGCACTCGGGCGCTAGCACGGGAAATCCAGAGTGACAGATAGCTGCCCCTCTTCTGCACATTCTTCCTCGGACAAAGACAGGATGGTTTCCACATCGCTCCCATCTCCATTCTCCACAGGTCGCTGAACACTTTTCATGTTCTTGCTGTCCCGCCTTCCCCCAATGCTGACTGGGATTGTGCTGCGAAGCAGAGGGGCGCCAATCCTGAACACTTTGGTCCTGATTTCCGAAGCGCCGCCCTCGGAAATCTTGCAATGAGCGCTTGGCACTGCCAGGCCCTGCGGGGCAAAAGCAGGAGGGATTGCAGGGCTTTGAGCGGAAGATGGTGCAGCGCTGGGTGGGCTAGCAACACACTGTGCGCATGGATAGCCTGCACTTTCAGGCTTGTTGGCTTCCAGGTTTGACTCCAGGGCCGGCAGCAAGGCTTTTGGTCCATGATCTTTTGAGGTTGCACCATCTGGTGCAACTGATTGCCTGTTGTCACGCGGGGCTGTAGAGAGTGAAGCTTTTCGTTCTGCTGACCATGACATTTCGTCTGCAGCATGAGCCCCGTTGCATACCCGGAACGATTTAGGCGGTTCAGGCTCCAATGGCGCTGCAAAACCCTGTCCAGCAAATGGAGAAGATACAGCAGAAGCCTTGTACCCAGCAGCTCGTGATTGCACATGGTCGCGTTTAGGCGATGGCAATGGCTTGCGAAGATCAGCATCCAAAAGTTCTGCCACACCCAAAGCGCCAGCGAGTTTAGCCCGGCTCGACATAGCACTGGAAGGCAACCACGCCTTGGACCATTCATGTCTGCGAACAGGCCATGCATGCCAACAACACGTGCGTGTTTTTGTTTGTGCCGACTGAACATTCGTGGGTCCAACAATTCCAGTAAAAAAAAATTGATAGACATCAGTGCGCGGAAAGTTTTGCCATAAGCATTTCGTACTTCATTGAGAACCACTAAAGTTTTCAACGGAAAAAGCACACACACCCACACAAACCTAGTTGTTTCTGCGCACCTTTTCGGGTCAATATGCGGATCCCAATGAAGGGCACAGTGGGAAGCCGAATTCCAAGGTGACCCGGTGCAGGTAACTAACGGACGAAAACTAAAATGCGCTAAGGGCCAAGCCGTGTGACAAACCCACACGGGCTGCCTGGCCCGCACGGGCTGCTGACTGGGAGGACGTCGCGAAGGTCAAGTGCTGCCCCACATCACTGACATTGCAAAGGCACGTTACGTTGTCGTACCTGTAACTATACGTGCACGAAAATAATGGTGACCGTGGTGGTGCTGGTGGTGGTGGCGGCGGCGGCGGTGGTGGTGGTGGCGGCGGTGGTGGTGGCGGCGGTGGTGGGGGCGGCGGCGGCGGCGGTGGTGGTGTCACTGCCGTTTATGCGGTGTGTTGGACGAGCTCGGAACCACAGGGTTGCCTGCCCTGTGGCGGGTGTGTTGGACCCGCGCGACGCGCTACTGGAGCACCGCCCGGATCTGTCGGGAAGGCGTGCCCGGATGGCGGCACATGTTTTGTTGCGTGACATGAATGTGAATGTGGCGGACTCCCGCCGCATTGAGGTCTTCGCCAACGGGCACAGGCTGCCTCTGCGGCAAGGTGCCCAAACGGCGGTCGACACACCTTTGTAAGCCCTGTGTCACGGGACGGGTCCGCCCGCGCGGGGGCCGATCGCGTTCCCGGCAAAACCGCCACTGATGCGGGGCGACACAGGCACCTACACGGAGCTGCTTGCGGCCCGACGCCGCCTGTGGGCAGTTCAAATACTTGGCCCATAGTCCATGAGTCACACGACATGATGATGATTGCATTCTACAAGCGCAATGCTTGAATTAAAACAATCCGTGATTGCGTGCGAAAGCATATCCAAACTTGCCTTGGCAATGCCTTGGCTCAAATGAAACGGTGAAAGGATCATGCTTATCTAAACTTTGTGTCCTTGAGCTGTGAAGCACACAGGCTTATCAGCCATAATGTTGACTTCACCTAAAGAACTACCCCTACATTTAAAAAAAAATCCCGGGGCCGGAACACAATTATAGTAACCCCCACAATTATAAAATCCCCGCGGAGCAATAAATTTCTTAGGGATAGATGTTCAGAGTTGCTTAAACTAGGAAGTTTTAAGGGATCCGTTTTACAATTTGCTTACTTTGGAACTACTCTTGGCAAGGCGCACCTAGCAAATTTAAGAGACTGAATTTAGAGTTTGCTTGCTGCAGAAGCTCTGTTTTGATGCTGGCCGGAAAAAGATTATGTAGAGAAGCTTGTTTCTCGCCTGCAAGGGCTCCATCTAAGATTCCACATGAATGGAAGCCTGGAACTTCCAGACTGTTGCTGAAAAAAAGGCATAGATTTCTTATTACAAAATCTTATAAAACCAACCCAAAGTCAATCCATCAAAGGGGGTAGTATACGGAGCCCCGGAATCCACATTAATAAAACCCCCACATTAATAAAATCCCACGCCCGAATTTCAAATAGTATCTAATAAGGCCCGAATTTGAAATATATCTAATAAGGCCCCAAATTGAAATAGTATCTAATAAGGCCCGAGTTTGAAATAGTCTTGAATAAGGCCCTAATTTGAAATAGGATCTGATAGGGCCCTAATGTGAAATGGTATGTAATAGGGCCCTTATTTGAAATAGTATCTAATAAGGCGTTAGTTTGAAATAGTCCCTAATAAGACGCTAATTTGAAATAGTCCTTAATAGAGCCCTAATTTCAAAGCCCTTAATTTAAAACAGTATCTGATAAGGCCCGAATTTGAAATACCCTATAATAAGGCCCTAAT